CAGACAGGCACAGCCAGGGCCACGAGCGTCGAGCGCACAATCACTAAGTATAATGGCTGATACTGTAATGGTCGAGGCTCGGAGGCGGAGGCGGAGGCGGAGGCGGATGCTGCCAGGGTCCAGGGACGAGTCCTGCTCAGGCTCAGGCTCAAGCTCAAGGCCCCGAGTCGTCATTCGATCATTCAGGCCTTCAGGTCTCGGAATCAGAAGTAGTCAATCGCAATCGCAATTGCAATCGCGATCAATGTTGGACCTCCGAATCGACGTCGCGGAACAGTGCTGAGTGACGATACCAATTGCAATGCTACGAGCTGATAAGGGTGTAGGGTAGGGTGCTACGCAGGGCCCCGTGGGCTACACATAGGTGATGGGAAGGGGACATCCGAGTCGCTGAACGTACATATATATGCGCCCCCGGGTGTTCGAGTATCATGCCTCGGACTGATGACTGTATCGGGTTGCTGGGCGCCAGTGAGCGCCAGTGCACATCACGATAAACGGTTCTCGGCCCTCGGGTCACGCTCGGGTTCAGGCGCTCGCAACCACCGTGACAAGCGCTCAGGCTGACGTAGGCGGTAGGCCGAGACCAGCTCGAGGGCATGCAGCCTGAGAGCGACGGGTCAGAGTCGGGGTCGGGGTCGGAGTCGGAGTCGACGTCACTGCGAGGCTGATGCACGATGTTGGTATCGCGGAACACAGACAGGCAGGCCGAGATCTACGAACCCAAATACCCTCCTCGTCGTCCCCGTCCCCCCGTCAGCGTCATGATCAGTTGACACCTAACGCCGTATCCAGATACCCTCGTCTGTGTCCGCGTCTGTGTCCGCGTTCCTCATCAGCGCCAGCGTCAAAGCGTCAAAGCGTCAAATCGATATCCTGTATCGTATCCGTATTCAAGGAGCCCCGTACCGTCGCGCTCGCGATCCCTGATCCCCGATCAGTTTAGTATCAGTTTAGTATCAGTTACAGTTACAGTTACAGTTACAGTTAAGATTACAGTGAGATAGATGTAGATGTAAATAGATACCCACGCTGCTGTGCTGTGCAGTGCACAGTGCGTTGCGGTGCGGTGCGGTGCAGCGATACGACGGTATCAACGCCGATGTCGATGTCGATGTCGATGTCGATGATATAGGCATCACATCTCCGTATCGTTCACTAGAGACCAGAGACCAGAGACCGAAGACCGAGACAGGCCAGAGACCAGCTACTAGAGACCAGCATGCAGCACGCCCACTGCACGCCACGGCCACGACAACCACCGTGCCGCCTACGCCTATGCCGCACGCCCAACTTTCCTGCGTGATCCCGGGCCGCCTCGCCTGAGACTCACTTTCGAAGACTTGTAAATCCGAACTGTCGTAGGCAGGGGACGTTGACTTCAAGTTGCTGCCAGGTGGAGAACATATCGTAATTGTTAGAGTGAGTGTAGGATATATGCGTCCGTGTCCGTGTCCGCGTCCGTGTCGCTAGGAGGACGGGTGGGTGGGATTCTGCACCCGAGTCGTGTCTTTCGTTGGGAGGAGAGGAGGGGAGAGGACGTGCGTTGCGTTGCGTTGTATTGTATCGCGCATGACAGCACAGCATGAGTAGCTGAGTAGCACCCTTGCGTTACCGCGACGCTCGACGCTCTCGAGATCACCACTCGAACCGAACGGCGTGGGTATGCCAGTCCCAGGTGCAGAGTGTACGGAGGATATTATTGTCCCTAAGAATCTCAGGCTGGGATATGATAATGCGTCATCGGTGACCTGTGAGAGGACTGACTTGCGTTGCGTTGCGTTGCGCTGCGCTGCGTTGCTCGAGATCCAAGGCAACTGGAGAATGCAGAGGGCGAAGAATAGGGCTCGACCCGACTCGTAAGAGAAACAGTAAGAGTAAGAGTAACAGCCGCTCCTGCCCCGCCAGTAGCCCGTAGCCCTAGCCCGTCGTCGTGAGACGTGGAACGTGGAACGTGGAACGGCGCAGCGATAATTATACACGACTCGCAACGTGTTACGTCTGCAGAGGATCCTCCTCCCTGGGATCGTGCGAACCCATCGATAACCATAACCATAGATATCGATACCGATAAGTGGTCGAGGTGCCGTTGACGTCGAGCGCTTGAGCTTAGTACGCTAATGCTAATAGCTATTCCACAGAGTTAGTTAATGAATTCGAGGAGCCAAGAGCTTAACTTTATGTCACGTCATCATCATCATCATCGTTAATTACAACGCTCACTGGCAGTTGATATCCAAGGTTGTACAGGTAGGACTCGAGGCCAGGCCGTCATGGGGGCTGGGCTCGCCGGGAGCCTGGGGTGTGGTGTGGAGGGGGAGGCGAAGTAGGGGGACATAGAGGGCGGTTCTTCGGCGGAGATGGGCGTTTACATAGACATATTAAGTGGGCAGAAGGAGGGTGCAGGCAGCCTGAGTGCACCCGACAAGACAACAACAGATTCGGACGTCGACATGCCAGTGGGATACCGTACGAGATGTCGATGTCGATGTCAAGGGGGCAGATGACGGGGCAGACGGGGCAGACGGGGCAGACGGGACACACGGAGGAGACGGGGACGGTGGCGCGGGGCCGGCGGTGATTGATTGAAGATTGAGATGTCCGAGTGCTTGAAGTGGAAGACGGAATTGGGAGATGGATGGATATAGGTATATGCATTGTATGTACTTTGTAAGTACTGATGCGAGATGAATACAATCGTGCGTCGTGTGGGATCAACGTGAAGATGTCAGCTGGAATCAGATTCAGAATCAGAATCAGAATGTGTTGACGGTGTCAGGCTATGCCATGTATGTATGTATGTATGGTAGGGTAGAGCAAGAGTGTGAGCTGAGTGGGTCAGAGAGTTGAGCTTGAGGATCGCATGCATGGAAACAGCGTGCTTGGGTGAGGGGTCTAACACGTATGGTTGACATGACAAGGTACACGGTTGCAGTGGGCCCCCGGCGGTTGCGATGCGTAGGTTCTTCTGCGAATTCTCAATGGAAGTGGAAGCTGATGAGAGAGTGACAGGCGAAAGATTTGGCAATGCGCTGGCAACCCCAATGGCCACATATGGGGGAGACCGTAGACTACGGGAGAGAGGACTCGGCGCCACGGAGGTGAGGAAGAGGGATCGGAAACGCAGGGGGACATATGTAACAAAGATGAAAGCGTAGGGTAAAGTTTGCACAGTAAAGTCTCGTCCTTCCGTTCTCTTGGGTCACATGTTCCATTCTTGGAACTCACCTTAAGAATCGCCACCAACTCAGATGTGTCCCTCCCACTCGCCATGTCCCTCCTCTCCTCTCTCCCAGAAGAGCTCCTCGAGCGCATCCTCGCTTCCACCCTCCCCTCACCATGCCCAGACCCAACTAGACCACACTGGCTCCGCTCCCCAAATTCACGCACTACAAAACTAGCACCCGTCTATGTATCCCGCCAGCTAAACAGAATAGCCACGCCCCTCCTCTACCACTCCATCTACCTCCCCTCCCCCTCCTCCGCCCGCCTCCTCCTCCACACCCTCATCGCACACCCAGAACTCCAAGCCCACGTCAAATGCATCATCGCCGCGGGTGTCTGGGGCCCCGTCATGCGGGTCCTTGGCCTGTGCACGGGGCTGCACGTTTTAGATCTGACTATTGCGTTTGATGAGGATGATGAGGATCAAGTTTGCGATCACGAGGCTGTGGCATTCGAGGACGACGCTGGCGTTGTTGACCCGTTTAGCAAATTAGCTCACATGCGTCATTTGACGCTGCGAAAACCGAATAGCACCTACCTCTCCCTCGCGCGCCTGCGTCTCCTCATCCTCGCCATCGCGCGCGCGATCAGGTCGTGGCCTGACCTCGTGAGTACTTGGTTGTTTGAATGTACATTTGGTGGGGAATCTGACCGTGTTCGAATGATGGCAGCGTACAGCGGATATAGCGTTCAAACTCGCAGACGACACGCCCACTTCACCCAGCTCATCCTCCAACTACTCCCCATTCTCATTCGCACTCCCCACCGCACCCACCGCACCCACACCTACATATACCCTACCACCCGCACCCACACCCGCACAAACAAGCCCCATATCCGCCCTCGCCGCCGCCCTCGCGTCCTCCCCCGCCCTACACACATTCTCCACGCACCTCCCCTCAGTGTGGAACACCGCCATCGCGACGATAGCGCTCAACCCCGCCCTGCAGAAGATCGTGCTCTCCGACGGCAGGGCGCGGCGTGCGGCGTACCCGTTACCATTACCCCATGCTCCTCCTCAGGTTCCCCATCCGCATCCTTGTCCTCACTTGGCAGGCCCCGCTGCGGCTGTGAGCGCCGCACTACCCCCCTGCCAGGGCCAGGGCGCGGCAGGCCCCTCCCCATCCCCATCCTACGCCCCAT